TGATAGAATAGGCAACACAATAATATAATTATTATTTAAAGATACCGTATATTTTGTAATTATGTTGATTGATTTTGATTGATTCCTTTGTAATGCTATATAACGCTAATGCAATATACAGAGAAGGGCACGGTTTGTGCTTCTTATTAATCAACATTTTCTTCTCTAGGCTTTGTACAAAACTAAAGTTCCAAAACCTCGTTTTACACACAGACTGAAAACATTGCACATTTTATTAAAACCGTGGAAGCTAACGATGACCTAACTTTACGGGGGGAAAAAACTACAACTTTAGAACAAGCTGTGAATAAACAGAGCAGACCATAAAAATTCAAGCTTTTATGGCTATGGAGCTCTGTACTTAAACATAAGATGGGGCAATGAACTATTAAGAACACCTTGCCCTAACGTATCAGAGTTTCGTATTCCCGAGTCTCTTGTTGAAGGTCCGGTAAGTCAGAACTTACGGAGAATTTGAGCCATTTCTTTCGATCCATATGATTCAGACAAGGTTGCATCAAGAAACCGATGATCATCATCACAAAGCTCACTGCAGCCACTTTAGCAGACGAGAGTGCAACAACAGCACAGATCAGTATGGTTGGAGGAACACACATGAGGATCGAACCTGTTGTTCCGATAGGTATCTTGTACGGTCTTGATGCAGCCGGGTGTTTCATCCTCATTCTAACAAATGCTATAAACTCCAAGATCATTCCAACGCAGTAAAGCAAATTCTCTGCAGCTACAATCTCTTGAAAGCTTAGCCAAGACAAGAGGATAACGCCTGAAGCCGAAAACAGAATACCTAGTAAAGGTGTTCCGTAACGTGACCTTTTGGCAAAAAACTCGGGAAGCATACCGCGCTCAGCCATTCCGAGAAGTTGGAAAGAGTCGCTACTCATCTCTGCTATAAACATTCCCATGTTTGATGTGGCTGCAGCCGCTTGAACCCACCATCTCAACCATGCTCCTCCGAGAGCTTTGGCCACATCAGAAAAATATCCATCAGTCCATAGCTCACGCTCCAGCGGGATTGCCCCGATTCCAGTCAAAAGAGGGAAGATGTAAGAAAGTGCAACTAAGATCACGCCATAATACAAAGCCTTTGGAAGCGTCTTGTTCGGGTTTTCCACTTCACCAGCTAGCGTACTGATCGAATCCCAATAGTTTAGATTCCAGAAAAGCGTGTTTAGATACAAATTCCAATTTATATTCCCTAAGTCCATCACAAGCCATCTCGAAGGCTCTAGCCGTGGAATCGAAATCAAACCCATCACAGCAAACGGAAGGATCGAGAAAACCCCCATAAGCACAGCAACCCATCCTACTATAGTCAATCCCCTGTAGTTCAGATACGTAAGCAGAATCGTCAACGCCAAGATCGATGCAACTCTCGGCAAACCGCTACCTAAAGCCGGGATACCGGATTTCAAATAATCAAGAAAAAGAACAGGATACAACGCGTTATCGATAACACCACTCAGCCATTTCATCCAACCTTGCTGAAACCCCCAAAAGGGTCCTAAAGCAGAGGAGACCCACACGACATAACCGCCGTTCTCGGGAAACATTGTGCCCATCTCTGCAGTGATCAAAGCCTCAGGAATACTCCAGATAAAAGGGAAAATCACAAACCCTAAAAGAGCTAACAATGGTCCAGCTGCATTCACACTATCCTCAACACCAAAAGGACCTCCTGAGACTTCATAGAATATCAAGAAAATGAGTGGCAACATCGAAACTTTCCGAATCTTATCGGTAGCTTTAGGCGATTGAGTCTGTTCATCATCATCATCGCCGACAACATTAGCATAAGGAACCTCATCATTGTTGTATTCTCTCATCTCAATAGACGTTGATGGATTCACTGTGATGATTCTCCGCTTCTGCATAACGTCATCCAGATTTTTCAAACAATTAGAACTCTGGTTTTTTTATATCTGCAACAATCCTTATACAATTACTCAAAATTGAATCTAGGGTTCGTCTTAAATTGAAATTGGGAAAGTAAAAAAAGGAGAGCTTTTTGTACTTTTTCTCAGATGGCTATCTTCAATATGCATTAAACAAACAAAAACCCAGAAGAAACGAGAACGATCTATGAATTGGATCATTCGGAAAAAACAGAGAGATGTTTGTAGCTAGAAGATGATGATGAAGAGTGAGTAAAGTGTAAAGATTTACGAGAGGTGAAGAAAGCAATGAACCTTGAGAGAATCGAGGGTCGTCTTCGAGATCTCCGTAAGTGAAGGTTTTTGGAACGATTCAGGAGCTATGAATGATGGATGATCCAAAGAAGAAAACAAAAGAGACTCCTTTTATCGAATAAAACCAATTTTTTTCAAAACAATGAGGTTAAATTATTTTATCTATTGTAAACAAAAAAAAAAAGAGATTTTCCTTTCCAGTATTAATTCTTGCATCTGAGAATTAAAAAGATTCTTGCATCTGAGAATGAAAAATGTTTAACAATGGAGATTGACAAATGTGCGACATTGCGAGATTGAAAAGGATCTGGATCTCAATTTTGAGCATGTGTCTAATTGTCTATAGGTACTGTTTTTTTTTCGTTGGTAGTTAGGATGATGAATTATTTATTACTACGGTTCTTTTCCCTTTCCAGTATTAATTAGTTCACTTAACTTTTTTTTTTTTGTTCAACATGCTTAGTTTATTACTAGATTTTGATCCTCCCGCAAGCATAAAATTAAATAATTAAATAGATCGTATAATCGATTTTTAATATATATATATATATATATTTTTTATTTAAACTTATGAAAAAGATATAATTTATAATATCTATAAACGTACAAAATAATATATATTATGCATAAATATAATAAAATTCAATATCTTTGATCAAACATATATATTAATGCAATTAGCTTAAATAATTTTATGTGTAAAATTAATCAAAACATATGCAAATATTTAAATGTAAAATTAGGCATTTCAAATGGGCTAACCCGGTCCAAAATCCGTAAAGCCTGCATATATATAAGTCTGGCCCGGCCCAAAAAATATTCAGGTCTATTTTTCAAAGCTCGGCCTGAACATAGCTACAGGGTTTTATGGGCTTTTCTGTATTTATATTTAAAATAAAAATAAATTAACAACAAATATTATTTACCAAAATAAATCTAGATTTAAACAACTACCCATATATTTTTATCGAAATCCAATTTAAATAAAAGCAAAAGTGTGACCAAATATGAATACAAATGTCAAATGAATTCAAATAATTATAAATAAATAATACTGTCAAATAAAACATAAGCAAAATACCAAAAGTTCAAGTAGTAGAATAAGAGTTTTTGACCAACGAATTATATATATATATATATAAATTATTTTAATCAAATTATCTTTAAACAAAATTTATTACTAAACTTATAAATTATATATTTATTTTCGGGCTTTCCGGACTGGTCCGAACCCAACCGGGTTAAAACCCAAAAACTCAATAGTCCGAATGAGTTTAGCCTGAAAGACCCAATCTTTTTTGGGCTTGTATATTTAGACGCGAACCCGGTATTTTTAAGAATTGGGCCGGATTTCGGATTTTGACCCTAATTGACGTGCCTATGTAAAATTGATATTCATTATTC